TAGCGCGATCTCCCCGGGCGAGAGGAGCACTGGCAGCTACCGCCGCGGGGTCACGTGGCCGAGAGCAGGGCGGGGCGAGCGAAGAGAAAGAGAAAGGGGAACCGGAAGGGAGGGGGCGGGGCGCTGGGCACGTGGTGGCTGCTGCCGGCTCCTCCCCCGGGCCCCGCCCGGAGACTGGGCGGGCGCGGAAAGAGCTGCCAGTTACAAGGCAGCTGCAGTCCCAGAGCCGGGCTCCTCCCCGCCCTCCCTGTCTGTGGGGACCCCGGAGCCGGCGGCGGCTGCTGCTGAAATGCGGGCCGCACGTGAGCGGGAAGGAGCCGGGATGCGCCGCGCTCAGGGCAGCAGGATCCCGAGATCAGGGCGCGCGGCCGCGCCACACACCAGCTCCGCTGCGATGCCGCACAGCTCCGCCCGTCTCGCGCTGCGGGAAATCCGAGCCGCGCCGCGGAGGGGAGGGGAGAGACCCCAAAGCAGCCTGCGAGGCGGAGCACCGGGATGCCCGGCGTCTCCAGCCCCCAGCTCTGAGGCTCCTATGCTTGGAGCTGGCTGTAGAGAAGGAACCGAGGTGGGCGGCGGAAAGCTAGGTGCCACTTCCGATTTCTTACCGTACTTGGCAGCCTTGGTGAGGCATAGGGGGTGCACCCCATCACAGACACACTGCCAACAGCACCTGCAAGCAGTTGCCACTCACCACCCCCTGCCACTGACACCACCAGCAGCATCTGTGGGCGGTTGCAGATTGCTGCTGGCGGTGTCTGCGGTGGTCACCAACCGCTGTGGCCACCTGCAGGAGCTCCCCGCCAACCCTGCCTGTGGGCAGTCACTGTGCCCCCCCAGCCTCCAGGGGCACCTGTCATTTGTGCTTGCCAGTATCCAATCCAAAGGGGAAACCTTTCCCTCTCCCAGCCTTCGGGGCTGTGAGCTTAACAGCCCAAGACGCACACAAAAAATTGAGGGTGGTGAGAGAAAGAGAGAGAGGAGTCAACAGCAAAGTTAAGAACATGTGGCAGCCTGGTCATTTTTTTTTCTCACTGCTTTTCTCTTCCTTTCCCATCCTTAATGCCAGCTTCTGTGGAGAAGGCTGAGGAGCGTTGCCTGTGGTACAGCTTGTTATCATACTTTCGAAGGTCATTGGGTGTCACCAGTTCCTGGCAGATGTTCCATGACCAGGAGTAGGTGGAGAAAGTGTGATAGAAGCTCTCATTTCCTGCTTCTAACCCAGTCTCTCTGCCATGTACTTTCTGCCACAGTTTCAATATCCTGTTCCTCTCCTGGAGTGCTATCCCTTGCCTGTACGTATCAGTTACCTGCTTCACCTACGGAGAGAAATCAGAAATTGAAAGAGGCTGCAACACTGCATTTATTCACCTTATCTCTCCCTGACATAAGACATGCATACTTTTTTCAGAAGGTGGAATGAAGAAGACAAATGTCTTGCCAGCAGTTTGAACACCCAACCTCTGCAGTAGGGAGAAAAGCAGCCTGTTGCTGCTCTGTTAACCCCCTAACATCTGGCTGGTTGTGCACAATTCCTAGCAGCAGCAGCAGTTTGGGAGTGTTCCTTCAGCATGTGCAGGGTTATTTTCCCTCTCCCCCCCTCCTCCCCCCCCAAACACACACATTTACACCCTTAGGTGGCTGCTGGGACAGACTTGTTGGTATTCACTCCAGTACCCCACTAGTGAGAGACAAGGTGTCCCACTTCCAGCTTCCTGAATGAACAATCTCCTTTATCTGGACTGAAACCAGCACACTAGAGGCAAAAGGGATGCCATGACCTACCCCCAATCCCTAGAGCTAGCCAGCGCATGGTAGAAGAGAATGCTGGATTAAAGAGTTTTTGCAGGAGCCTGAGCCTAGCTGAGTCTGAAAATAGCACATGGGAAAGAGGGCCCACAGCATAGTGCTCATCAGGCATAGATTGAAAAGGCAAGGGGTGCTGGAAGTCCTCAGGAGAGGTGTTTGGTTTCACACTCACATTTGTTCGTATCTCATTCAGGTTTTCTATAGTCAACCAGCGTTCCTTGTCCAGCAACTGAGGGCTCAGACTAAGGGAGGTCCGCCGTTCTTGGAAGTCATCCGGAGGTTTGAAAGCAGTTGCCTAATTAAAAAAAAAAACAGAAGTAGGTGTTTATCTACCCTTGGTCCTAATGCTTTTAGGGACAACAAAGCCCTCTCTAATGCACCGAGGCAATTGTTTATTGTTGTGTATTTGGGGAAATCCTTAAGTGAAGCATGAGATTTGACTAGTCCTATCTTAGCAATGCATGTTCTCAATTACACTGGTGTCAATCCAGACTGATTCTACTGAAGTCAGTGGAGTTGCTCTCAATTTATGCTGGAATAATCAAGATGGGATTTGGCCCTAAGCACTTTCAATGCTAATGTATGCCAGAAATACTTTTAATAAAACACAGACTGATGGCTCTGAAAGTATCATTCCGTGTTATTAAACATAGCCAGGGGTTCTCATAAAAAAGCAGTTTGGGTGAGTATTGTAGGGGAGAATAGAGAATTAGATATGCTTGTGGAATGGCCTGTATGGTCTCAGAGAGAGGTAGTTAGCCATGTTAGTCTGAAGATGGTCAGAAGGAAGGGAAGATATGCATCTTTATGACTAACTAAATAAGATTTATATTGAGAGCATAAGCTTTCATGAACTCAAGTTCATTCCTTCATTATTGTATGGCCTCAGTTATTTGATGCTGAGATTGGGACCTGAAGAGCCTAGGGCTGTTCTCTTCTCCAGCATTTAAGGAAAGGCTTATTCCTCCAGATATCCCACCCAGACAGCTGCAGAGGCAGCTCTGCTATGTTTTCTCCCAGAATCTTCTAGGAGCAGTGACCATAAGATGAAGCAGATCAGAATCCTGAGGAAAGTAAGGTAGGAGAGCAGCAGAGTAGGGACCCTAGACTTCAGAAAAGCGGACTTCAACTTGCTTAGGGAACTGATGGTAGCATCCCCTGGGAGGCCAAATTGAGGAGGAAAGAAGTCCAGGAAAACTGATTGTATTTTAAAGAAACCTTACTGAGGGCACAGGAACGAACCAACTTGATGTGCAGGAAGATTAGCAAGTATGGCAGAAGACCAGCTTGGCTTAGCAGAGAACTCTTCAGTGAGTTAAAACACAAAAAGGAAGCTTGCAAAAAGTGGAAATGGGCAAATGACTAGGGAGGAATATAAGTATTGCTTTGCATGCAGGAATGAAATCAGGAAGGCCAAAGCAAAACTGGAGTTGCAGCTAGTGAGGGACATGAAGGATAAGGGTTTCGACAAGTATGCTAGCAACAAGAGGAAGTCTAGGGAAAGTGTGGGTCCCTTACTGAATGAGGATGGCAACCTAGTGACAGATGACTTGGAAAAGCCTGAAGTACTCAATGCCTTTTTTACCATTGTCTTCACAAGCAAGGTCAGCTACCAGACTACTGCACCTGGCAGCACAGTATGAGGTGGAGGTGAGCAACCAACAGTGGTGAAAGCAGGTTAGGTATTATTTAGAAAAAGATGGACATGTACAGGTCCATGGGGCTGGACACAATGCACCCGAGAGAGCTGAGGGAGTTGGCTGATGTGACTGCATACAAACTTTCTGTTTTTCTCACCAACAAACAGCTCACTGGCCATCCTCTTTGAAAACTTGTGGCAATCAGAAGAGGTCCTGGATGATTTGAAAACAGCAAATATAGTGCTCATATTTAAGAATGAGGAGGAGGATCTGGGGAACTACAAACCAGTCAGCCTCACCACAGTCCCTGGAAAGCCCGTGCAGCAGGTCCTCAAGAAATCCATTTCCAAGTACTTGGAGGAGAAGAAGGTGACTAGAAATGGTCAGCCTGGATTCACCAAGGGCAAATCATTCTTGACCAACCTGATTGCCTTCTCTGACAAGATATCTGGCGCTCTGGATGTGGGGAGAGCAGTGGACATGATATACCTTGTCTTCAGCAAGGCTTTAGATACAGTGTCCCACAACATTCTTGCAAGCAAGCCAAGGAAATATAGGTTGGATGAATGGACTGTAAGGTGGATAAAAACTAGCTGGATTGTCAGGCTCAAAGTATAGTAATCAATGGCTTGATGTCTAGTTGGCAGCTAGAATGAAGTAGAGTGTCCCAGGGGTTGGTCCTGGTGCCTGTTTTGTTCAATATCTTTGACCTGGAAGATGAGATGAAGTGTACCCTCAGCAAGTTTGCAGATGACACCAAGTGGGTGGGAGTACTAGATACACTGGATGGTAGGCCTAGGATTCAGAGAGACCTTGACAAGTTGGAGGATTGGACCAAAAGAAATCTCATGAGGTTCGATTAAGACAAGTGAAAAGTCCTGCACTTAGGATGGAACAATCCCATGCACCAGTACAGACTGGGGACCAACTGGCTAAGCAGCAGCTCTTTAGAAAGGAACCTGGGGATTACATTGGACAATAAGCTGAATATGAGCCAACAGTGTGTCCTTGTTGCAAAGAAGGCTAATGGCATACTGGACTGCATTAGTATGAATGTTGCCAGAAGATTGCGGGAGGTGATTATTCCCTTCTATTCAGCACTGGTGAAGACACATCTGGAGTGCTTTGTCCAGTTTTGGGCCCCCCACTACAGAAAGCATGTAGACAAATAGGAGAGAGTCCAGTGGAGAGCAGTGAAAATCCAAATGGGGCTAGGGCACATGACTTATCAGGAGAGGCGGAAGAAACCGGGCTTATTTAGTCTGGAGAGGAGGAGACTGGGAACACTCTCACTAGGAGGGTAGTAAAACACTGGAACAGGTTACCCAGAGAGGTTGTGAAATCTCCGTCTTTGGAGGTTTTCAAGACCTAGCTAGATCAAGCCTTTGCTGGGATGATATAGTTAGGGATGGTCCTGGAGGTGGTTAAACTAGATGACCTTCTGAGGTTCCTTCCAACCCGAATTTTCTATGATTCTATTATTTTGCCTTCAGGCTGCTAGGACTAAACCCATCCAGTTTAGTCCCTTAAGAAGTAGAGGAGCAAGCAAGACTCTGGTTCCCTATAAGAGGAGCTACCATTGTTATGTGGAACAGTCACTCAGAGGCACTGTGTATCTGGCTTTTTGGCCTTGTAAAAGGGAGAGCAATTCTAGGCATTTTGGCTCTAGTGAATGCCAGGTGTGCAAACCACAAAGATGCCCCATGACATGTTAATCTTGAATGGACTTACAGCCATGCTTGGTGTATCTACATGTTCATTAATGTGTTTTTGCTAATGTGCGTTATATTTAGTACCTCCATTGTAAGGTACTAGAAAAAAGTGCATTAGCCTATTTTAATGCCCATTAGTAAACATGTACTATTTGTGACATTTTAAAATTGGCTAATGTGCATTAAAGTGCACATGTAGACACATCCAGTAAGTCCACTGCAATAAAGACACATTAAACTATAGAGTATCCAAGGTCTGTTTAAAGCTAAGGTGACTCTTTATAGATGAGCATGATAAAGACATGCTAGTGTATGTAGTGAACAGAACTCTTGGGAGTGGTGTGGTCAGCCTCATGTCTGGCCATCTTTGGTTCTGCTTGATGACTAGCTACTCACTCAGAGATGCCTGACAGGCCAGTACTAAGCTTGGAGAAAGACTCTTCCTCACATTTCTGGATTTACCAGAAGCCCCCTTAAGGGCTCTGCCACTGTGCTCTTGTACTAATGAGTATGCATTGAATAACTGCAAAAACATCTTTGGGACACAGAGACTTTCTCTTACAGGGAACCAGATAGCATTTTTCCAGCTACCTCCTTCAGAAATGAGTCTAAAAAATTTAAAGGGAAGCTAAACTGGTGTAATTTGATTCCTTTTCAGCACATTTAGTTGTCTGCCACATTGCTATAGGCTTCTGTAGACACACTCAGACTCACTCCTGTTTCATATCATTGAATCTGGCTCATGAAGTGTAATGCATTCTGAAGTTGGTGAGAAAAATGGGAAGTTGTAATGGGAAATTGTAAGAGTGTGTGTTAAAGCAGCCCCCAACCTACTGCCATTTACATGAGCTTCCAGCTCCCTAGATAAGGTAGACCTTTAGATATGAGTAGGGATGTCTAAAAGAATGTGGCTAGGATTTTCGAAGAAGTGTAAGGCTCCTTTGAAAATCTGATCGTCTGAGCCTAACAGAATCTAAGTTACACCACCTTCCATATCACCTTGCAATAGGTCTCAGGTGCCTACATGCCAGTTGCATGCCAGGCATGTTGACTGCACAGATTTCAGTGGGAATGTATCTGTGCCACGAGGATTCAGACTTATTTTTGTGCCTCAAAGGTCATTCCATAGTTAAACTGCTTCTGCTCACCTCATGCACCCAGTTTCTTTTATGAAAGAAGTGGTTCTCAAAGGATGGCATCCTTTTTTTCCTCCTCTGCATCTCCAGCTTCTGCAAGTCTTTTTTTGGCCTGGTCTTTGTCACACCATCTCGATTGGGAAGCAATGGGAAGATGGGTACTTGTGCATAAGGGCTGTTTGAAGTGGAAGTACATGCTAACAAAAGGAAGAAAAAGACTGGGTGTTAGTAATTGAGCACTGCCGTCTGCTGTTTAGCTCTTAGCTCTTCTTACTTTATGACCAGTCCAACCAACTCTGGACTGTGCAAGTCCTGAGATCCCTACTACTCACCTTCCTCCTCTCTTTGTACCTTGCTCTCCTTAAGACAGAAGTGTGTACTGGCAGAGCAGACAAGCCAGCTTGCAATGGTACTAGAGATGTTGGTTCAAGCTTTTTGCTAAAGGCAGCCCTATGCCAACCCAGCTGTACACAGTTATGTAGTCATTTGGGCTAATGAGTCAAAGATGGCTAGATGTAATTGTAGCTATGTCACTTGTGTGCTGTTGGCTACAAAAAAATGGCCTGCCCTCAGCAGGCCAGGCTAATAGGTCATCCAGGCTCAGGCAGTCGGGTCAGTAGTATCTGAGTTGGGGCGCACAACTTTAGAGACCTCAGGGCCTAATTTTCAGATGCATTTGAACCCCTACTATTCCCTCTGAAGCCAAAGCAAGTTGGGGATTCTTAGCTTCCCTAAATAATCAGGCCTCCCTATGTCTAAAGTTAGGAATCCATAAATGGAGGCACCACAAATTAGAGAATGCTTCTGAAAATGTCTTAATCAATGAGTTGTTATAAGAACTAAAAACAGATAGTCTTTTGTAGCCTGTGAGCTGCTGTACTTTGATTTGCCACAAAGAGGAGCTAAACATTATTTAAGGCTGGCTTGGCTAATCTGATTGTTTTAGACCAGGGCAGGGCTCTCCAACTAGCAGCCTGTGGGATGCATACTGTCCCCAAGAGCGGGTCCCTATGTGCAGGAGTGTGCGCTTGTAGAGGCACAAATAGTGGTAGCACAAATTTGTGCTGCTGCTTTGTGCCCCATCGCATGCCTCTGCATGTGAGTTTTGGCGTGCAGCAAATTGTCCTGGATAGGGGCTGGGGAGGCTGGGTTCAGTACCTGTGCTGGCCTCAACAGTCTTACCTGGTGGTGTGCTGGAGCAGCAGGGGCAGCATGGAGGCTTGGCCAACAGCCAGAACATTGCTCTGGGTGGCCTGGTCTCCATTTGTTCTGGCACACACTTGTTTTGCATGCATTGTACCACTTCTTATTCTGGTGGGTTTTTTGCTACTGGGATTTCTCAGTAGCAAATTTTGCCACCACATTGCAAGTTTGCAGCATGGTACATGTTTTCATGTTCCCCATGTATGGCTTGTGGCACTGTGGCAGGGCACTGCGGGTGCCTGCCACTTTAAGGGCCTGGAGCTGGCAGCTGCCAGGCGCCTGCTGAGGGCGGCCATTTTGGATCTGGGGCTGCCCATATGGGCATTTTGCTGCTGGAGGGCAGGCAACAGCACTGCCTGGCCAGAGGGCTGCTGGGATCAACTGGAGGTAAGGGAGGAGCTGTAGGGGATGGTCAGGAGTTTCCTGGTCCTGGGCATGACTTAAAACTGCACCCTGCTGGGAGTGGGTGGCCTGGTGGGGCTCCCAGTGGCGCAGGAGCTCCCAGGAAATGCCAGGCCAGTTACCACCCTGGTGAAAGGTGGGTTGTGGTGCCTTAACCCCTAGCCCCCACAACTGGGTGGGTTACCCCTTCGTAGGGCCTGGAGGGTGGACCCCCAGAGAGAGAAGAGGCCATAGACTGAGGCCTGTCTGGACTTCCCCTGACTGGCCCATGCTGGGGCCAGGACCAGAAGGGCGGGGGGCCACCGCGAGAAACACCCAAGAGCTGTGCGCCTGGGGTTTCAGCTGGCCTGGAGGTGGGCCAGGGCTAGTAGCCGAAGGTCCCGGGGAAGGGGAAGCAGTTCAGGGAGCTATGCTGCCCAGGATGAAGGCGGATGAGGCCGCCTGAGGGGAGGAATCCAGGTGGGGGTCAATCAGGAGGATTCTGGGGCCCGGGGGGGGCGGTGATTATGATAACATCTGGATGCCATCTGCTAGGCTTAGGCTGCGGTGTAGGGGAAGAATGGAGCCACAGATACCACTCCCTGGCATCGGTGCAGGAAATAGGCAGCCTCCCACTTATTAACATCTATGAATTAATTCCAACAAGGTGTGGCAGGCAAGAAGGTGGGCGGTTAGCCCAGAAACAAGTGGGCAGGCCACAGGGAAAGTGGCCCCGAGAAGGCCCCCTGTTACAGGCACCATAAAGGGGTTTGTGGTGCCACGAACTGCACGGCCCTGCAAATGGGTATACCCACCCCAAGGGATTAAGTTGCAGCCCCTGGGCTCCTGGTCCAGGCACTGCTCCCCTTTGCGATCCTGCATTGATGCTGGAGTCCCTGAACTCCCCTCAATCTTGGAAGTAGGGCAGAGCAGGGTGGTGTGGCCCATGGGGCTGCAGGAGCCCATGGTCAGAGAGCTGCTGGGGACCGCATTTGGCATCTGCACCACCATGGTCAAGTGGGAGTCACTTGCCATGCAGCAGGTGAGAGCCACGTGGCAAGACTGCAGCGCACATCACATCTGCGCACGCAGGGGGCCCACATGGTGTGGCATGTCCATGCATCGGGGCCATGGGCATGGCAGAGGCTCAAGTGATGTTTCAGAGCTTTTGCTCATGTGGTGCTTTGGGTGCTTGTGGTGTGATGGGGGAGTTGAGGCTTATGTGACATGTCAGGCCCAATACAAGGTGGTGGTGGTAGTCAGGGAGACTCATGTGGCACAGCGTGGGACCTGTGTGACATATAGCCCTGGGGGTGTGCAGCTTGTGTGGCATGGCTGGGAGGCCAGCAGTCCACAGCCACTTTGAAGTCGGGAAGCCCTGCTTTAGAGTGGCAGTTCTCAACCGTTATAAACTCAAGTCACCCCTGGTAAGACTTGAGGCACCCCTCGGAAAATCTAGCTCTTATCTATTGCTTGTTTTTTGACTATGGAACAGTAATAGAGCAATTCTTGAGGGGCAAACAACTTGAGAATGTTTTTGACACTATAGCTTCCTATATTGACACTTTTCCTATCTTGCAGCACCCGAGGCTACAGTGGCACCCTGGTGGAGAATTACTGCTGTAGACCTTAATGGAGTGATAGTGCCATCCCTTAGATTAAAATGATTTTTTGCTACATGGTAGTGCAGAACACTGCCTCATGTTCAAGTCTGGCAGTTCATAACTGTTAGTTTGACTTGGACCCAGTCTAGCTAGTAAGGTGGTTGCTCCCTTTAACCCCATTCAAACATTTGTGTTAATATACAGGACATGGGCACAAACAGCACGACTGCAGACCCTACACTCTGGATTGAAAGTGGCATTATCAATGGTGCCATTTCAAAACGGCTGGATTAACCTATGCAGATTGGACCCAACTGACATTACAAGGTCACTGGTTCTCATAGAGCTCACTGGACTGTTTGTGCAGCCTCTTCTCAAAACATCTTATTGTGACTTTTCAGAAACCCCACCCCCAGCTATATACGTTCATTGCTGCCCTGCCCAGACACCTGCATAGCAGTGTGAAGAAATCTGGTTCCCTGCACTTCAGGTCTAGGTCTGACTCAAGCCTGGAAGAACAGAATGGTCTAATAGAGTCGGGTCTTGGACTGGTACATGGCAATACTATACACTTATGCAAACTGTTATCACTCTTTAGCACCTTGGCTTTCTTGCTTGATATAGTTTTCTGTTTGGCACAGCCAATGAATGGTATTTTGGGGAGACTGCCATTTATTTTTCACCCAGTTTAAAGAAGAGGCAAACCTAGCAATGGTAGTGCTCCATGTTGGTGGAGCTTAGAGTGCCCCAACCCTGTTTCTGATGCAGATCCTGACTAGATAAGTCGTCTGGAGTTGGGAAATCCAATTCAGTAGTTGGTTCTGAAAATTTGGGCTGAAATGACATACCTGAGATCACAGTGAGTCTGTGGCACAACCTGGAAAAGAATCCAGTGTCCTGCACTTGAAATATATGTTTATGCTCCCTCCTATTATTCACACATCTTGATATGTGAGTGTTAACAGTGGCTATTTTGGGTACAGGTAGATACTTTGAGTGGGTTTACCAACTGCTAGCTGTGAAAATTTTTTGCTAACCAGGGGCTTCATTCACAGCCTGCTGGAGTTTAAGGAAAGACCTCCCTGTAACAAGGGACCCAGGTCCTATTACTGTAAAAGGGCTGAAGGGTAAGCAAAATCTGAGGCCCCTTTAAGAATAGGAGTTCTGTGGCCCAGAGAGGTAGCGACTCAAAAAAGGAGAAGGAAGCACCAAAAAGGGACCAGGAGCTCAGATCCCCAAGACTAACTGGAAAGGAATCTTTGGTCTGTAGACTGCAAGGGCAGGAAAAGTGTAGTACTTACAGTAGTAGGCAGTCCTGGCAGAGCAGCTGCTTGGGCAGCAGAGCTGCCAGCTTTTGGGAAGAACAGACTGCCAGGCAGTGAGCTTCATGGAGGCTGCACTCCTGACCAGAAGTGAACTGCAACCAGTATCAAGACTGCTTAATGACAAGCAACTAACTCAGGACCATAGACCAATGCTTGTAGAATTGGCTGAGAGTGATAAGGCTCTAGCTGAAATAATGGAAACCCTTGGTCTAAGGCTGAGCAGCAGGGGTCAGCTGACTGATGGGGGACAAGCTGGCCAATATATAGGCTTGTCCCAAGGCAGAAGGGAGTCACTGTGCAGGAGAGGCAAGGGAGCCTCCCTCTTGTTAAGTGTGTGTGCCTGGAAGAGTTAAAATTTTGGTTATTTTGCTTATTTTTATTTAATAGGGTTATATTTTCGTTAAGAATCAGTTTGACCAGAGTGGTTGAAAATGGGTGGTTTGGAGGCAGTACAGCAGAGTGCCCCAGAGCCTGCTGAAATGGTTAACCCTGTGAGGGTCAGGGGCTGGGAGAGGGATAGGCCGAGGCCAGAAAGCCAGACCAAAACTAGTGGGCAAGGGCTAAAGACTACAACCAGAGAAATGTGGGCTAAAGCTGAGGGGTCTGAAGCCTAGACAGACTGGACAGAGCCCGAGCGGCAGAAACTGTGAGCTAGGTTATGAACAAGTACTGAATAACACATGCAAGGCATAAGTATTGCTGGGGTCATGGCTGGAGGGCACAATTAGTTTCCCTGATCAGTGATTAGTGCCCCAGAGCACAGGCAAACAGTGAGATGGGTACATGGAGAAACTGGAGAGGAAAAGGTTAGCATGGCCACACCAGTCAGTAGACTTGAGTCAGGCAGGGGAAGAAGACTTCACCTTTACTTCACTATTTGAATAGCTGTGAGATTGGACCTTGCCTCTTTGGCATTGCCAGCAAAGCCTCGTTCAGGTACATAACAAAAGTGACTGAGCTTTGAGCAGTCCTTACCTCTGAGGGTTTCAACACAGCTTTCCAGCTGCTTGTTGTTCATGACGGGAATGTGGGCAACCTTTGTAAAGGCACATGCGGGGGATGCAGCACCTTTTTGATGAGCCTGGTGTTTTTTGAGTTTGTGGAGCCTTTTATCATGACATATAAAGCTGTCCATGACCATCCAAGCTTTCTTGCTAGTGCAGTCCAGGAACTTGTTTCTGTAGTAACTAGAAAAGAAAAGATGTTACCAGACAAGACAGCAGTGCCTTTGAGGAGTCTCATTTCCACCTTACTCCATAAAAGATGTCCAACAAAGGAGGGAAAAATAGAGCAGGTATCCTTTTTCTGTTTCCAGAAAGGCTGACAGGTGGACAGAGCTGTATGGGGCACAGATATGCCTATGACACTAGAAATGACCCTCTCTCCAGATCTTGAGGGAACGTTTACCCACTCACTTGACAATCTCAAGCATGGTCCTCCTGGACAAAGCTGACTTTTCCATCAGCTTTGACAGGACTTCAAACATCAAGATTCCTGTGGCATCAACTAAATTGAAGCTGTCCAGACTGCCTTTATCAGGAGCTGTGTGGGAGAAGCATAAGGGTCAGAGCATTCAGTCTACCGGGCCAGCTCCTACCTTTGATTCCAGGCAGTAAGCATCTAAGCCAGCTCTAATATCACCAGTGACCTCCAGAATGGTTTTGTCTGAGCAGAGTGTGGTGCAGGGGCATATATCCCCAGCTGGAAGCACTGCTGTGAATGCTAGCTGTGTTTTTAGAAAAGGATACTTCTCACTGTGCTTTCCCATCTCCCAAGGAAGCATTGTCTTCCATTATTTCCGCATCCTGCCTTGGAATTGGCAGGATTTGGCCCCTGGTATTTTGTATACTGAGCCCAGCCCTAATTAATCACATGCATCCTGATGATCTCAATTTTGGTCATACTGCCTCTTCATTGTGCTTCCTCCTACTCAACCTAGCAGTCATAGGAGTGGTATTAGGGCCTCCTCTTTTCTCTGTGCCTTTGGGTTCATAGGCAGGAGTGTAGCAGCTTCCTCCTCCCCTGAGCTGGACTGATGAAGACTTGGAAAATCTGTATAGCTGTTCCTACCCAGGGGAGTTGTCCATGTGCACATTTTTCAGGGAACCCCAGACACTGATGTTCTGTTAATTTAAAATTGTTCCATGATTTCTTGTCCTGAGCTAGCATAGGCAGGAAGCTGATGGCCAGTTTCATTAACTTTGCAGGGTCTGTCTCGCTCACCTACAGCCTGGATGAAGCGCTTGGTGTCACTAATAATGGTCAGGAAGTCCAAGAAGTTCACCTTCCCATCCCCTGCAATGTAAACAATATATCCTATTAACAGCACGCCTTTCAGCCTGGGAATGGGGAAAACATCCTTTCACTGACACTGGAGAGGGGTTTGTTCATAAGATCCATGCTAAGCATAAGTGCACAATTTCCCCCAATCCGTTGGTTACAGACGTGTGGCCAACATAGTTCTCAAGTCAAATCCCCTGTTTGCACTGCTCAGAGGAGTCCATTATTAGTGCCAGCACTAGTGTGTAGCCAGCCTGCCTCTGACCTCAGTGTCCTCAGGGCTTGAAGGTTGGGGTGTGGAAGAAAGAATCACAGAAAGGGGCAGGGGGAGGGGGGCTAATTACAAGGGAATAAATCCCTAATGAATCCCAGTTTGAAATTTTGATCAACCCAAGAACATTGCATTTGGTGCTGAATTGTGGCTTCAAGCCACTTGCTGTATTGACAAAGGTGAGGAGGAGCCCATCTGTATGAGTGAGAAAGAGTTATTACACTGTAGTGGCCTAGAGAGAGTTCAGAGGGACTTATCTCTGTGATGTGGACCTCCTTGATAAAGTGCTTTGAGATCTACTGATAATAAGTGTTATATCAGAACTAGAAGTTGTCACTTATGGCTGGCTGAAAGAGGATCCCTTTAACATGAGCAGGAAGACTGTCTTTGCAAGGGAGTGGACTGTGGTCTCCTTAACTAAGCTCCTGCCTCTGGCAGACATGAGATCTCACTTTTGATATGTCATATTGAATGAAATAGTTTGAATGTTTGTAAAGGTTGCCCATTAGCCAGTTTCAGGAAGAAGATAGGATCTATCTCCTTATCTAGTTCATTGTTTTGGAGCTATGTGCGAAATGTCCTGACTTCGCCTAAAACCTTAATCTAAATTGTACCTTTAGAAATTTTTTACAAAGAAAGTAAATATCCTAAATTCCGAGACATCAAAGCCTAAGGCCTTTTAACCAAATTGCTAAGAAAAGAGTATTTACAGTGATATGGAAGTCTCCCCAAGAATAATTTAAAAATGCTCAACAAAGGTAATTTCTGTTGAGTAAGATCCGAGCCCAAATTTGGGAGTTATGATGAATTGAGTAGGAGGAGCCCAATGACGGCAGCTCACTCAATAAAAACCTGTAACTTACTGTCCCAATTTGGAGGTGACTTCACTTGCAGAACAACGAAGGAAGAATCGCAAGTATAAGGTCGGATTAGATTGATCGCCTAATCAAGCCTCTCCGTGAACACGAATCTCTTAGTTCACGCTGAAGCCGCGGAGCACCCGAAAGGGACTGAAGGAAGGGGACGTAGTCCTATCACTGGTGAGCCCAGCTCATTGAATCGTATTGCTGAGGCCAGCCTATTGAACCGTACTACTGAGGCCAACCCATTAAATCGTACTACTGAGGAATGAAACCATATTTTGGTATTTGGCTTCTCGGAATTCTAGGATTGTAAGTATATTATGAAAAATAACAGTATTGATTCAAATTTAACTTTTAGTTGTAATTGTAGTTGTTTTTGTAACACTAATTCTTATAGCATTGTTTGGGAAGGAAGTGCATTCGGAGCATTGTTTCTGATATATGTAATTATTGTGTTTTTAATGTTTGTGGTGTTTCTTAAAGCTAAGCAGTGTTATATACGTAGCAAAGAGTTTTAAAATAAAATTGTGTTGTATAAATTAAGTGTGTAATCATTGTGAAATCGTGCAATCAGCTAACTACTCCCCCAGCCAGTGCATCAAAACGAATCAGTAAATTGTGTGGGATTTTCTCTATTCCATAACCCACTAGAGACATGATATAGCAGTGTTAATACAGTTTCTCTCTCCTTGCTCTGAACTGTCATATTCTGTCACAAGGTGCACAAAGATAGATGATCTTAGTGTTAAGGCACTAATCAGGGACTCTGATTTCAGCTTTATTTCAGACTTGATTTAAAGCTTTTTGGCATGTCACTTGATTTCTCTTTCCCAGTTAAAAATAATCATTCCTTCCACTACTCTGTCTTGCCTATTTAGATTATCAGCTCCAGAGGACTCTCTCCTGGTATGTATAGGTATGAGCCCTGCGCTCCAGTATTGAACCCTTGTGAATGAGATCTCTAGGCACTTCTGCAGTAGGACAGATGATACTGATTTTTAGCCTAGCCTGGGTGTATCTACACAAGATACTTTACAGTGCAGTAGACTAATCTATTGCACAGTAAAGCATCACTAGCTAACTGCATAGGAGCTAAACTGCGCAGTAGATTAGTCCAGGGGTTGTCAACCAGGGGTACATGTACCCCTGGGGGTACTTGGGAAGGCCCTAGGGGGTACATGTGGGTGGGCAGGGACAGAGCGTCACCACCCACCACCTCATGCCACCGCCTTCCAGGAGTAGGGCTGGGGGAGTGGCGGGATGAGGGCTGCAGCGTCCCTCTATGGGCTGTACAGGTGCCACCTGGTTGGCCAGACACGGTGGGGAGGGAGGGGTGGGGGGCCGCGCAGGGAAGCTTGCACCATCGCCACCACCCTGCACTGCTGCTGCTCTGCATCTGGCTATGCACCACCCACCCATCTCCATGTTCAACTGCGCACCACCTCCCCCCCTCCGCTCTGTGTCCAGCTGCTGGGGGTACACTTATTAAAAAAGGTTGAAAACTCTGGGATTAGTCTACTGTGCAGTTTTCTACTACCTGTGAAAACAGGTAGTATATTTACCACACAGTAGCTAATGCACAGTTATTGCTCCCAGTCAGCTCAGGCAGCAGGGGGTGGGAGAATAATCCCCTCCCCGCAGCAGCTGCCAGGGTGGGCTCCATTTGTGGAGCCTGGCTGGGACAATGTTCCCCGACCCTGGCTCCATGATCAGAGCTGGAACTGGGACATTGCTCCCTTCCCCCAGCAGTTGCGTGCTGCTGGGATGGGCTCCAATCTCAAGAGCCCAGCTGGGACAATGTCCCCCTGCCCCAAACCAGGGCTGGGAGCTGCCTGCTGCCAGGGTGGGAGGACATTGTCCCGGCTGGGCTATGTAACTGGAGCCTGCCACAGCAGCAGGCAGCTACCGGTGGCAGGCAGCAATCTCAGCCCTGGCTGCCATTGTGGAGCTTGGGCCAGGAAATGCCTGCTGCCAGGCTCTCTGATTGGAGCCCACCTCAGAAGCAGGCAGCTGCAGTGGGCAGGAAGGAATCTCCCAGCCCTGGCTAACATTGTGGAGCTGGGGCTGAGAGCTGCCTGCCTGAGGAGAATGCCCTGTCCAGCCCAGAGCTGGCTGGGACCTGCCCCAGAATGGGACAGTTCCCAAGCTGCATGGGAAAGTCCCGCTAGGCACAGGGCTTGTCCCCATATGCACAGAGTGGGAGAGCACGACAGCTGCCTCCCAGCACCGTGCACATCAGGCCCTCTCCTGATGTGCTGGCAGCCAGGAGACAGCTGCTGCTGCAGCCAGCAGAGCTCTCCTGGCTTTCTGCGCAGGGGGACTGTCCCCACACTCCCTGCCAACCCCCAGGCTAGCAGTCAGGGGGAGTCTGGAACTCCCTCTGGCTGCTGCAGATCTGCAAATCTGCTTCCAGGAAGGAGCACGTAGGTTTACTGCACAGTATTTTTACTGTGCAGTAAGCCTAGTTGAGTTAATAGCACATGTAGATGCACCCACTGTGTATATGCTGGGAGATTGAGACAACAATTTTTCCACTGTGGAACAAGTTAATATCATGTACACTTACTGTCCATATCAGCATATGCTAGCTCGTCATAGGCTTCTTGTTCAGTTAAATTCAGCCCCAGCTTCTTTGTAGTCATCTCCAGCCCATGTAGGTCAATGTTGCCATCTGAGTCCTTTGTGAAGAAATTGTAGGCATCGTAGAATGCTGTAGGCGGGCAGTTAAAGCACCATAAGATCAACAGATAAGGCTAAAGGGCTTCATGGCCTATGCTTTTTTTTGAAGCAGTTGACCCTAACAACTAGAAGTGGCCTGGAATGACTATTAACTACTGTTAACAGTAGTTCCAGGCCACTTCTAGCTGCTAGGGTCATTCACTTTCATGTTAGAATTATGAATCTGAGGAAGGAAAGTGCAACCCTAAGTTTAAGGCTCAGGGATCAGGTGGTCTTGGTTCAATTCTGGTTGTACCACAGGTGTGTCCTGTGTAACCCCAGGAAACTCCCTTATTCCCTCTGTGACTCAGGTCCTATTTGTAAATGGGGATAATGATATTTTCTTTCTCTTTCTGGTTTCTGTGAATTGTAAGATCCTTGGAGTAGGGATGATCTTTCACTTCTTGCATGAACAAGCATGTTGAGACCATGAAGTACTGCCATGATAGAAAATGTCATAGTTATCTCACAGGCTAAAGAACAAACCTTACACAGGAGGTGATAACTAGGTAAAATTACCTTCTAGTTGGTTCCTGGTCATATTCTTTGCTGCTTTGCACTTACTCCTGTCTAGGAGGATGGCTGATAATTCTCTGCCACGTGACAGTAAAAAAGGAAGATGGACAATTAAAAGCTGCAAACTGACATTGGCCCACGGATACACAGCTCCCACTGATGGATCAAGAATTTAGGGGAGGATAAAAAGCAGAATGCAAACTCTTGTCTTAGCTGTGCTGATATGGTCTAAGAACAAGATTACATGTAACAATTAGACCATGTTAAGGACACTTAAAACTTGAAGATAGTGCACTAAGGCTTGTTAACAAGTGCTAAGTGGCTGCGTGTCTTAAAGTTACACCAGTTCTGGCAAAGATTATCTTTGAGCTGTGCTACCTAGCTTCTGGATTTTCACCTGAGAGAAAACTGCCAATCTGCAGAGTCCTCCAGTATCCCAAGAGGCATTACTCCCAGGTGGACTAGATATCATCCAGGACTCTATGAGATTGACAGCTGGAAGCAGCAGGTGAGTGGAGAGGGAGGGTGAAGGGGTTGGGGGGGTGGGGCAGGAGCAGAAAGGGGAAGAGGAAGGGGAACAGGGGGAGGGGAGTTGCTGCTGGGCTGTGACCCCTTTTGGCCCCAGATCGCAACCTGACCACCTTAATTCCCTATTCTGCCACCCATATTCCTGTTTTGCCGCCCCAATCACCCCTACCATCCTCCAGTTTGACCTTCCACCCCTGGTTTGCCATCCTGCTGCCCTGAGCAGCCTGAGTGTGCCAGAGGCATTGGTGGGGAGGAAGGGTCCCCTTCCCTGCCTGCTCCCAGATTTCCTGCAGACTGCATTGCTCCTCCACACCCAGATCCAGTCCTAGTAGATCCTGCAGCTGAAGTGGGGCAGGAGAGGTGAGGAGCTGCTGGATAGCTGCAGAGCTCTGGGGGCTGGATCCAGGTACACAGGGGAGGTGTGAGCAGCAAGGAGCCCAGGAGCAGGCAGGGAGGGGAAACCTGAGCTGCAACCACCACTATTGCCATCTTTGGGTTGATTGTGGTGGCAGAGTGGCAATCCAGGGATGGAGGAGCTGATCAGGGGGCGATCCAGGGGCAGAGGAAGTGATCCAAGTGGTGTGGAGGGCCTTTCTCCTTCTTCCCAGCCTATACTGCAGCTAGAGAGCCAGTGAGTGTGGCTAGCATGGAGCAGACTTGCAGTCCCTCCCCATGCCCCTGCTCACCAGCCCTTTTGCAGGCAAAACTGAGCAGTACATGCTACACATGGTATTAACCCTTAGGCTAGGGACAGAAATTGCACATAAACCAGTGTAAGTGACTGGAAACCTGTTCAAATCTGTAACAACAGAAGTTCAGTACACATAAACTGCTTTCAAAATGGCCAAAACTGGTTTAAGATGAGCCTGGATGGATGTAGTATCAGACTTAACTGATTTAGATTAAATCAGTTTATTGAACTTTTGCCCCAGATCCCCTTCAGATTCAAGTTAACTCACTGTCCCCAAGCATCCCAAGATGCTTTGCATCTCCCCTGTAAATTCCCCCCACAGGGTGGGTGGCCTAGCTTTGTCCCAAGCTGTCTGCTCCAGTGGAGCAGGGATGTGTGCTTTAGGATGCCCCCAGCTGGGCCACTGCAGGCATGTGGCTGCATTTCCAAAATCAAAAGTGAATGTCTGACTCCATACCCACGTATCTTTTTTGGCAGGGGTTTCAGCATCATTTTCTTTGGCAGGGATTTCAACGTCATATCTGTTTTGGGGGTCTGGTCAAAGTTTGGCCCAGGTTTCTCTGGCATGAAAGACAAATGTGCAGTGGGTTAAAAATGCTCTGTTGGTAAGTAAATACATACAAACAAGCAAGTAAGCGTCTATTTTTTGGGAAGAGGGTATGCGCTAGGAAGGTGAGGTCTTTTCTGCTGCCAGATGCCAGGTCTCCATTAGGAGGTTCTGTTCTTGTAGCTGGCCTTGTGTACCACTATGGTGGAGGCAGCCCAGTAACAGAGACAGCCCCAGATAGTCCCCCTGTTATTTTCTGGCTGCCTCACCTCCTGGATTGACACCTTCATTTGACTTGCAACTAGGAGCACAAGGATCCTCCAGGACCAGCAACCCTCAGGGTGCTCCTGGTGCTCCAGAGCTGTGACCAGATTCAGCTCTTACTGACCCTCATGATAAGAAGTCCAGCCTGCCATGATGTAGCCAAAGTAATGGCCTGGGCACTGCCCCAGCTGGCTTGAGTATGGTCCTAACCCAGGGCAGGGCAATTATTTGGGCTGGAGAGCCACTTAGGGTGTTTTGGTGAGCTGTTCCAAGGGGAGGGTGCTGACCTGACCCAGTTCAGCAAGGAGATGGTGCTGATCCAGTGCAGAGGGAAAGGCGGGGGGAGAGAGAATTGATCCTATCCAGCTTGGGCTTGTCAGCCTCATGACCATTTCTGGGAGTGCCAGACAGAGCAGGCAGGTGGGTGAGGGGTCACCATAGAAACTGGCTTGGGACCCATGCAGGTAGGGTGCATTCAGCTGGGCAGATGGGATGGGGCTGCAGGCAGGCAGGGAGTAGCATCTGTGAGTGGGATGGGTGGGTGAAGCTGGAGCCGGGATCACAGGGCAAAGACAATGCAGGACCTTTGATAGATACAACCATCAGAAGGATTAAGGGCTCTTGAATACAGAAGGGATAATCCCACACACCCACCTGGTCTACTACCTAAGCAACCATCTAGGAGGCCATGTGACTCAGGTCTGCCCTGCAGACATGGTAATGATTATGTGCCACACCCCTGGGCTTCCAGGTCTGGATGGACCACCCACCCGTGGTACCACGGAGGTCTTTACCCAGACAGAGACTATGGTCCCAGCCTCCACACAAACAGAATCCTTGACTCCAGGCTGCAAGGTCTGCCTGGCATATCTGCTGGAGACTGAGAGCTGGGGCACTGGCACCCCAAGTTGTGGGATATGCTTGCTGGTGGAGACTCTGGAGGGCCGGGAGCTTCAGGGGGAGGTGAGCAGGGTACAAGTTTATCAGGGAACACGAGGTGGAAATCAACGTGTATTGCCAGGCCCTACACCCAGAGAAGGACACTATGGAAACCAGGCAGAAGAACGGGCTTGTGCAAGATGACCCAACCAACAGTGGGTGTAAGTTGGTCACTTCAGGCCCGAAGCCATGAGGCGCATCAGTCGCTCCATCAATAGCCCTGCACAATAGCTATGAAGCCCTCACAACATGAATGGATGGGGCATCTGTGTCATCTGCACTGCAAACAGGATGGGAGCAGCTGCCCCCACTAAGGAAGCAACTAAGGGTGATTGTCATGGGAGACTCCCTCCTGTGGGGCACAGGAGCCATTTGTCATCCAGACCCTCTTGCTTGAGAGGTCTGCAGCCTTTCAGGAGCCAGGATCCAAGGTGTTACGGAAAGGATCCCTAAGCTGGTCCATCATATGGACCACTACCCCATGCTCTTTGTCGATGTGGGCACCAACAATATGAGAAGAAACAGCTCTGGGGGAATCATGGGTGACTACAAGACCGTGGGGGCAAGCTCAAGGAACTAGGAGCACAAGTGGTCTTCTCCTCAATCCTTCCACTCAGGGGCTGAGGCCTATGAAGGGAGGAGTGCATTGAAGAGGTCAACCAAAGACTTTGCAGATGGTGTCACTGCATAGGCTTTGGATTCCTTGACCTTGACATGCAGAGCAATGGTATTCAAGAGATGGTATTCACCTCACAGGCAGAGGGAGGAAGCTCTTTTCTATGAGAATTGCCGACTTGCTTAGGAGGGCTTTAAACTAGGCATGTCTGAGGAAGACGGGAGAGGTTCCACTGTTACACATGAATCCACTGCTGTACATGAATCCTCTTCCCATAATGACTTGTGAGAGGGCATCAACGTAGTGGACACCCACGTGAGCACCAACACCCTAAGATACACACACAGTGCCAGAAAAACTGAGGCGAACAGAGGGGAACTTAGGTGCCGTTATGGGAATACCAGAAGCATGGGCAACAAACAGGAGGAACTGGCTCTCCTGGCAGATGAGGAATTTGACATCATTGGGCTGATGGAGACCTGGTGGGATGAGATATACGATTGGGCAGTGGATATCGAGGACTATAGGCTTTACAGGAAGGATTCAGTTAGGAAGAAGGTAGAAGGGGTGGCCCTCTACATGAAGAGTATTACCTCTCCCTGCAGGTCAGGTTTGATAGTGGGGAGAGGTCCTTCGAGACCCTCTGGGTCAAGATACAAGGCAGTTCAGGAGAGGAAGACCTGATGGTGGGAGAATACTACAGACCTCATTCCCAAGAACAGGAGAATGATCAGGCATTTTCCAGGTAGCCAGAACTAAAGACCTGATTGTCATGGGTAACTTCAACTACCCTGACATCTGTGGGGAGAACCATTCGGCTGGCTCCAGCAAGTCAGCCAATTTCTTGGCAGCTATCAGTGACCTGTTCCTGTCACAGGTTGTCGAAGGACTGACTAGGGGTAAAGCCACTCTGGACTTAGTGCTTACCAAAGGAGAGGACATGGGAGGGGACCTGAGGATTGGAGGCACTCTGGGTGACAGTGATCATGATCTGATTAGGCTCATCATCCACCAGAAGGCCAGGATGAACAAAAGTCCTAGATTTCAGAAGGGCAGAGTTTGACAAACCCAGGAGGTTAGGCCCCCTGCGACCAGTGACTGGATGATTTGGGAGTTCAGGAGAGATGGTGGCTTTTAAAGGGAGCAATTCTCACTGCCCAAAAAGAGGTCATTCCCACATGATCAAGGAGTGGGAAAGAAGCCAAGAGACCTGCTTGGCTCAACAGCAACATTAGAGAACTTTTGAAAAAGGTTCAGCAACCAGAGAAGAGTTCACTTATATTTATCAGGGTCTGCAGGTATGAGATACGGAAAGCCAAGCCAGGCATGGAGATCAAGCTGGCATCTGAAATAAAGGAGATCAAAAAGTCCTTCTACAGGTACATGGGGAGCAAGAAAAAAATTGAGTTCCACTGTGGGACTCCTACTGAATATGGAGGGATAGCTCACAGTTGACCCCCATGAAAAGGCAGAATTCCTAAATGAATACTTTACATCGGTATTCCAGAAGGCTAATAGGAGCTGTGCACCCATTCAGGGGCCCAGAGAACATGGAGAAGCCTGCAGACAACATCAAATCAGTCCTGAACAGGTGAGGGTCCCTCTTAGAACAATTGGATGTTTTCAAGTCTACTGGGCCAGATGACCTACATCCAAGAGTCCTGAAAGAACTGGCTGAACTCATAGCAGGGCCTTTGGTGAAGATATTCGAAAAGTCATGGAACTCAGGGTGGTCCTGGATGACTGGAAGAGGGCCAATGTGGTGCCCATCTTTAAGAAAGGGAGGAGGGATGACCCTGCAAACTACAGACCGGTTAGTTTGACTTCGGTCCTTGGAAAAACTTTTGAGAAAATTGTTAAAGAGGCCATCAATCACAAGCTTGTAACTGACAGGGTATTAAGAAACAACCAGCATGGCTTTGTGGAGGGTAGATCATGCCTGACAAACCTGGTGTCCTTTTACAACAAGGTAACTAACCAGCTGGACAAGGGTCATGAGGTAGACATCATTTACTTAGATTTCAGTAAGGCCTTTGATTCTGTCTCCCATGACAATAAAACTGGAGGGTAATGGCCTGGACCAGCCTACAGTGGGTGGATAACTGGCTTAGAGGCTGGTCCTAGAGTTGTAATCGATGGGACGGCCTCATCCTAGAGGACTATCTCCACTGGTGTTCCACAAGGATCAGTGCTTGGACACTTACTAGGTTGAAAACCCTTGCTCTGTGATTAAGTTTGTGGACAATACTAAGTGGTGGAGAAATGTGGGCACACCAGAGGATAGGGCAAGGATCCAGGACGACCTAGACAGATTGGTTCTGTGGGCTGATCAGAGTCAGATGAGGTTCAACAGGGAAAATTGCCAGGTCTTTCATCTGGGTAGGAAGAACCTTCACCTTAACTATTGGATAGGTGGCAGCCCACTGGCTAACACTACATCTGAATGGGCCCTGGAGGTCACAATCAACCAGAAGATGAATATGAGCCAACAGTGCGATGAAGCCACCAGCAGAGCGAATTGAACTCTGGTGTGCATCAGTCGATGTGTTACCAACAGATGCAAGGAGTTGCTTTTCCCTCTCTACTCAGTGTTGGTGAGGCACAACTGGAGTACTGTGCCCAGTTTTGGGCACTGCACTTCAAGAAGGATGTGGACAAACTTGAGAGGGTGGAGAGAATGGCCACCTGCATGATTGGGGGCCTGGAGGATGGGCCCTATGAGGAGAGACTGCGGGAGCTGGGCTTGTTCAGGCTGGGTAAGAGGAGGCTGTGAGGAGACTTGATAGCCGCCTACAAATATGTCAGGGGGGAACACCAAGATCTGGGGGAGCAACTCTTCAGGAAGGCAGCCCTTGGAAGGATGTGGACCAATTGTTACAAACTAACAGAGGAAAGATTTAGGCTGGACAGAAGGAAGAACTTCTCCATAAGGGTAACTAGAACCTGGAACACACTCCTAGCAGCTGTGGTACGGTCACCATCCTTGGAGGTATTCAAGAGGAGGCTGGATAAGCACCTCATTGAGCTAGTTTGAGCTTTTTAATCTCCTGCCTATGGCAGGGGACCAGACTTGATGATCTTACAGGTCCCTTACAGTCCATTGACTCTATTAAAGGATATCAGTCATTGCATCTCAGGATTATTTTTCAAATGGATCAAATGCCCTTTAGTCACAGGTGTAGTGTCTGATGTTTTTGAGCAGATGCACTGGCAACAATGTTTGGGCCATAGAAACATATATGCCATGCTCTGCACACTACCTTGTGATATGCCCAACACTCACCGTTAACTGTAGAATGCCACTGGACCTCCTGCAGCAACTTATTAGTTACATGGATCCCCTTGTTGGCTAGAATAGAGTCCAGGTCATTGATGTCCATCTTTTCCTCTTAATAATCAAGCAAAATTAAATGTACCAATGCTGTGTACGTTACAAAAACTATATAAAATTATATGCATGGTGCTGTATATACCCATACTGGAGACACCTTTTATCAGCGTGGCATGTGGCATTATCTATCTACTTCCAGAGACAACAGTGATGAGGGCCATGTGTCAGATAGTCTATTTCAGGTACATACCTATAACAGATAGGTTAAGAACAAGGTTGAGAAAGAGGGACCATCTTTAGCTGCTATAAATTGGCAATGCCCCATGGAAGCTAATACATTTATGTTGATTTACATTAGATGAAGATCTGGCATCAGCTGACAGACGAACAGACTGAATTTCTTCAACAAGGAGAAATGCAAAGTGCTGCACCTAGGGAGGAAAAATGTCCAGCATACCTACAGCCTAGGAAATGACCTGCTTGGTGGCATGGAAGCGGAAAGGGATCTTGGAGTCCTAGTGGACTCCAAGATGAACATGAGTCGTCAGTGTGACGAAGTCATCAGAAAAGCTAATGGCACTTTATTGTGCATCAGCAGATGCATGATGAACAGATCCAAGGAGGTGATACTTCCCCTCTATTGGGTGCTGGTCAGACCGCAGTTGGAGTACTGCGTGCAGTTTTGGGCGCCACACTTCAAGAGGGATGTGGATAACCTGGAGAGGGTCCAGAGAAGGGCTGCTCATATGGTTAAGGGCCTGCAGACCAAGCCCTACGAAGAGAGACTAGAGAACCTGGACCTTTTCAGCCTCCGGAAGAGAAGGTTGAGAGGCGACCTTGTGGCTGCCTATAAGTTCATCGTGGGGGCACAGAAGGGAATTGGTGAGGCTTTACTCACCAAGGCACCCCTGGGGGTTACAAGAAGTAATGGCCATAAGCTAGTAGAGAGCAGATTTAGATTAGACATTAGGAAGAACTTCTTCACAGTTAGAGTGGCCAAAGTCTGGAATGGACTCTTTCCTGCCTATGCAGGGGGTCGGACTCGATGATCTATTGAGGTCCCTTCTGACCCTAACATCTATGAATCTAATGGGGTCAGGAAGGAATTTATCCCCTAGGTCAGATTGAAAGAGACTGAATGGGGGTTTGTTTTTCTCTATAGCACAGGACACAGTCCTTTTCTTAGTCTCTTTTGAGCATGTATTAACAAACTACTTCCTTGCCAATGCAGTGCCAGGGCATTAGCACTGCCCTTGTCTCCCCTGCAACCTATGGCATGTTATGGGGTGTTTTTGGTGTTCTTGTGCCTTGTTGCTGTGTGTGAGGGTCACACAATCGTTTTGGGGATTTCTTGGGTATATGACTACCTGTAAATGCAGGGTACTGGACTTGATAGCCTAGGAGGCCCCTTCTCATCTTAGGTTCTTATGTTCCCAGTAAAGCTCTTGCTCACCTTTTACTGAGGACCGGGTCTGAGTTGGTCTCACTCCTTGAATGAATTCACTCAAATTCATGTTCCCCTCAGCTAAAATGGAACACATAGCAGTGGCTGGGAAGAACAAGACTATGAAAACTGAAGAGCAGAGGGAGACCAGGGAGACACTCACTATCAGTAGTCATAAAATTCAGGGCTTCCTGCATCTCCTCACTGGTTAAGTAGATCCCCATGTCAGCCAGAATGGAGTCCAGGTTACAGATATTGACTCTGTCTTCTTAAGTAGAAAGGAAATGTTGGGGTTTGACCTCTACACCTTCCCTATTCCCCTAATCAGCACCCCAGAAAGGGAAATGATAAGGACTATTTAGACTTTCTGGCATAACACCTTTGATATGTAATTGTTATCTAATGCCTGCCATTCAAGCAGCAACATTACAAAAGCTGCAAATCCTCCTCTCAAGGATGCTGATGCAAAACACTAATGTCTTGACCAAAGCTAGAACTTATAAACTAGTTTCCTTTTAGGCTTATCTCTGTGATGTACTTACTTTGCCCCCCACTGCTAAATTATTGGAGAACTTCACAATTTTTAGTGTAGTCATCCTCATAATGTTAGGGCAGTGCTATTCTCTCCATTTCACTGATGGGGAAGCAGAGAGAAACCAAGATGTAGGTAGGCACCTAAATGCCTACAATGTAATTTTGAGGACTTCCTAAATTACAAAACTATTGAAAAGTGGAGCTGCTGCCCACAGAAGTAGTGACTTAAAGTTATATGACCACAGTCCATATAGAAGTACCTAAAATCAGTGGCATGGTTTTTAAAACCTCTGAACAAACAGCAGCTCCTGATGAACTTAAGGGGAGTTTCTGAGTGCTGAGCACTTTGGAAAATCAGTCCGTTTCACTGGGGTGCTTAAATGAAGTGTGTGGGGGGTGTACACCAGGGAAGAAGAGCTATTTAACCTAAAAAACAATGTTAGTACAAAGAACAGTGAGTATAAACTGGTCATGAATAAATTTAAGCTGGAAATCAGAAGACAGTGTGTAAGTGTTAATCAGGTTCTGGAATAGCCACCCAGTGGAAGTAATAGAAACAAAAAAAAAATCAGTTTTTAAGACATTGTTCGATTAGTTTGTAAAAGGGATTCTCAGCCATGGTGCCTATGACAGCAGGACACTGGCCTTGATGAATGGGAAGTTCCTTCCACTGCTATGTCCCATGTTCCATTAGCCACAGAGGCAACTAAATGCCAGTTCTGGACCAAAACACATTGTAGGGGACCAGCTGGGGATAACAGACCTGTTCTTAGCAAGTAAAGGACAAAAAACGTGCATCTCCACCTTCCTGAGAGCACCCGGGGTGGGGCGGGGGGAGGGTGGGGCACATCATATACAATGGCTGCAGAGAGTCTTTGTTCTCACATACTTTCGATTTGGGATGGTCTCTGTGTACTCATCATGCTGTTCATAAATGTGCTCAAGCTGATTTTGCCATCTCCTGCAAGGGAAAGCACCAGTTGGAGGCAAGGGCTAGGAACAGGCGTGAAGCAGGGGCAGCAGCTGCTGGAGTTAGACCGCTGGGTTCTGTTGCTCTGGTGTCACAAAGCTAGAATCCCTTGTGCACAAAGGAAGAGGCCAGTAGGGGCAATAGTTCAGTGCTGACTCCACAGCACAGATTCCTGTTTTGAAGGAGGGGAGGGGAGGTGGCAATTGGAAGGAGTCTTTAGGTTTTGGTAATTTCTAGTTGCTACCAAGAATATATAAGCAACTGGCTGCAAATGAGAGCAGCCTTTGAGTCTACAGAGGAAGATGAGCTGAGGTGAAGTAAACAGATTACAGTCAGGATTTTAGATATGCCCAGGCAGTAACAGCAGGGAGAAGCTCCCTCACTACACTGCTCCTCCCCACACCCATGTTGGCAGCACGTACCTTTCCTGTTCACCTGGTCTCACACCCTGGGGCTCTGACAAACCTTGGGTTTCCCCAATGAAGACAGTCATAAGGGCAGTGGAAAGGCTCACCGTCCACAGTGATGTGCTTCAGTTCCTTCTGTATCTCCTCACTGGTTAGATGGATCCCCATGCTGGCCAGGATGGTGTCTAGGTTACTGACATCGACCCTGTCCTCTATTGAAAGAAGCACTGTATTGGAAACCATTACGGTTTTAATTTTCTTTTTCCATTTATATGTTTAAGTATCATTCTAAACAACCAAGCAAGGCAATAATCCCCCAGGTGCAGCCAGGATGCAAAGGAGCTCTTGGAACACGGAGAGAAAAATGAAAACAAGAATATTAAAGACACTATGTCTTTCTGTAGTCAAACTAACCTGAAGATCTGGAAGCACTTCAAACACACAAGTAAAATAAAACTTCCATGCCCCCTATGAGGCCGGGCAGTATTAGCCTGGTTTTATAACAGGGGAAACTGAGGGAGAGAGGGATAAGGTAATTGGTTTAAAGTCACCATATATGTGGACTGCAGCAAGGAGGAGAACAGAAGCCTGCTGTCTTGATTCTATATGATTGTGAACTGATTCCTGTGTTCTATTCTGAAGAAACCCTTGCATCCTTAATTAATGGTTCTCTCTTAGCCCAACTTCTCCAGATTTGTATCCTTCAAAGTTTATTAGTCAGAAGAAATATTGTTACATACAAAAGCCTCTGGGGACAAGAATGGCATGAAAGCCCAAGTGCTGAAAACATTAAGGCATGTGCTTAACTTTACCCTAATGACTTCAAGGAGAATGCCTATGAGTGAAGTGAAGCATGTGCATTCTTGCAGGACCAGGGCTTTCAAAGTCAGAGAGTTAGAGCTAGGAAATATGAAATTAAAGATGCCAAAATTAAAGATCCTTCCTTCTTTCTCTTTGTGCAGCTTTAGTACCCGAGAGCTTTAATTATATAAAACCACACTGTTGCTTCCAGAGGACTCCTGGCTCATTCAGTGCGCTAAGGATCTCCCATCAGTCTGTGTTATACTCACGCTCTCCTTCAACAGGTGGCAATTTCTGGACATCCCTCAATCCCTTCATCAGTTCACTCAAATTCACCTTTCCATTTGTTGTAAGGCAAAGCACAGCCAAAGTCAGGGAAATGATAGACAGACTAATGGACAGAGAGGGGGAGAGGAACTAAGCTCAGTGCTAAAGCTAAGCAGAGTTGCCGGGGAAGGAGATGTTCTTTCTAAATGATGCAGCCATCGCATCCTTGAAAGGTGTCAGTGTGGAGAACATGAAATTCAAAGGGCCAGAGCCTGCTTCCCTTTAAAATGGGGTGAATTGAAGTCACTGTATGTTGCTTTTGTTATGAGTGCAAATATATTTTCAGACCATTTAAAGATTTCCCCACCACCACCCCTGCACTACCAAGAAACGTTAAGTAAAATATAATTAGTTATTTAGTCCAGGCATCAGTGCTGTTATGCCAAGTTTACGCCGGTTTAGATGATAGCAGAAGCCAAGCCTATGATGTTATTTAAAATGGATCAATTGTCTCTTATACCTGACTGTCATCTGACAAGCATAAAACACAAGCATAAGCAGGAATTTCAATGCTGTTTTCAATCACCACTCCCACTTTACCAACAGAGAGAGGACTGGAAACACCAACCATCAACTGGTGTATGTTTCAGGGCCTCCTGCAGCTCCTCATTGGTCACATAGATCCCCATGCTGCTCAGGATGGAGTCCAGGTGCTGGATGCCGACCTTATCTCCTAGGTCAGGTGGGGAAGGCATTAGTCAGTGGGGAGATTTTCCCAGGTAAGAGGAGAGTGAAGATGGAGCAAGGGGCTTGGGGTGTGACATGTGCACAGAGTTTACAACCCCCTTCCCTAAACCCCCTCCTTGAACCACTTGTATCTTAATTGCCACTTCACAGAGTTTAGTCAAGTTTCAGGCCAGCAGGGACCATTAGGTCATCTAGTCTAAATTGTTGGTCGAAGGCCATTTAGTTTCTTTCAGACACTCCTATATTGCTCCACTCTATGATCCTAGAGTCAGCCCTAGGATCATAGGAAAGCAGGGCTGGAAGGGACCTCATTAGGTCATCTAGCCCAACCCCCCTGCTCAAGGAAGGATTATCCCAGCCAACCATTTGTCTGACCTGCTTTTTAAACTTTCCAAGGATGGAGATCCCACAACTTCTCTAGGCAGCTTGTTCCAATGCCTAACCACCCTCACAGGGTATTGTTACACAGTAACTTAAAGATGCATTAAGGGCTCTTAAAGCAGGAGTGTCTACACATGACAGCAGGAAACCACATGCTAAGGGCCCTCTGAATAGTTTAAAGATAATCCTCTTTCATCAAGGATTATCTCTAACTGTTTTTTGGGCAGTTTGTGTTGCAGTCACGTGTGACTGCTCCACAGGCCCATAATCAGTTAGGAGTGATTCTCCAGCATCCCAGGAGGCACTGCTCCCAGCCACTCTATCTTTTCCAAGTGCCAGTAGGTGCAGTGGCACCTAAATGTAAGTGTAACCTGGGTGGCAGCCCAATAGTTGCCACCCCTGCCCAATATCAGGGATGGTGTGGTGAGAGTGGGGCAGGGCTTCCGGCCAGCACCAATTTACTTTCCAGCCGGCCCCTGCTCCCCACAGAGCAGCCCGTGGTCCCAAGAAGGTCTAACACTTAACTGATTTAACTATTTACACTTTATTTACAAAACAAGAATAAAAGGAAAGGTTATTTACAAGTGAACTTAAATGGCATAACCAGGATCACAAAACAAACCAGAATGCATTAGTCAACCTTTGACTCAAGAACCACGGGTAGGGTAACTGGCAGCTTTCAGCCACTGCTGAGATGCTACAGCAAGGAAGCAAGGTGCTCGCTCCCAGCAACTCCAACAGGCTTCCCAATAAGCGACAGACTGCAAGTGTAAGCTCTTCTGGTCTGCAGCTATCAAATTGTACCAAACCCCAACCCCTCAAAGAGGCTGAAGGGTGACCCTCTGTGGCAACCAAAAAGGCAAGCAACAAGCAACAGAGTAGGCTCCTGCAGCAATCGGCATGACCCAAGCACAAAGCTCAGGGACTCCATCCGATGACAATCAGCTGCAGAATAAGGGACAGGACTGAGTCCCCTCTGGGGCAGTCAGTGGCAGAGGGTGCTGCTCTAAACCCCTGCTCCAGATGACTGGCCAGGCACCCCACACGCCTTGTGGCTCGCCAATCCTGCTTCAAGTGCCGGCCTGCATCCCGAGCTCCCGGGGACCCTTGTCCTGGCACTCTGCTGTTCTTCAGGATCCCAGTGCCTTGCCTGCTGCTGTCCTGCTTCCCCAGGGAAGGGAAGGGGTTTCCTCAACTCACTAGATCAGCTCCCTGCTTTGGATAAGGATGCTGCCTGTGCTCCTGGTCGCTGCTGCTTCTCTGCAGTGGAGTGGAGACTGACTGCAACCCCTAGCCCCTGGGACACCGGACACATCCAGCACACTGCAATGGGGCCTTGGGGCACCAGCTCTCTGCCCCAAGTCCTGGCCGCTGCTCCCTCCATTGTCCTCAGTCCCTCAGG